GATGTGTTTCCGGAGGACTTGACTAAGTTGTCTCCATACCGAAAGGTGAAATTTGCTATTGATTTGATGCTTGGTACCGCGCCAATTTCTATGGCATCGTATCGTATAGCACCGATTAAATTAGAAGAATTAAAGAAGCAACTTGATGAATTGAGGATGAAAGGCTTCATCCGACCGAGTGTGTCACCGTGGAGTGCACCGGTCTTATTTGCTAAGAAGAAAGATGATTCTTTGAGATTGTGCATTGATTACCGAAAGTTAAATCATGCTACCATCAAGAACAAGTATCATTTGCCAAGGATAGATGATTTATTTGATCAGTTGAGAGGAGCCAGTTGTTTTTCGAAGATTGACTTGAGGTCAGGTTATTATCAATTGCGGGTTAGAGAAGAGGATATTCCAAAGATCGTTTTCCGTACGTGGTATGGACACTATGAGTTTTTTGTCATGCCCTTTGGTCTGACTAACGCACCAGCGGCATTCATAGATCTAATGAACCGTGTTTTCCACGATTATTTGGATCAGTTTGTGGTAGTTTTCGTAGATGACATTCTTGTGTATTCACAGACTCGGGAGGAGCACGAGGTCCATTTGAGTATAGTGTTGCAGATTCTACGGGAGCACTGTTTGTACACTAAATATGAAAAGTGTGAGTTTTGGCTACAAAAGGTGAAATTTTTGGGACATTTTGTCTCAGAATGTGGGGTTTCAATTGATCCTTCAAAGATAGAAATAATTCTGAATTGGGAGCAACCCAAGAATGTCTTTGAGATCTGGAGTTTCCTTGGCCTAGCGAGTTATTATCGGAGATTTGTGAAAGATTTTTTCCGTTTGGCAGCTCCTATGACCAGATTGACCTGGAAAATGATCAAGTTTGCATGGAATGAGGCCTGTAAGTCATCATTTCAAGAGTTGAAAGCAAGGTTGACTACGGCTCCAGTGTTGGTGATACCGGAGCGTGGCATGGGCTATGTGATCTATTGTGAAGCCTCATGTGATGGTTTAGGTTGTATACTAATGTAAGATGATAGAGTGGTGGCTTATGGGTCTTGACAGTTGAAGACTCATGAGCATAACTACCCTACTCATGACTTGGAGTTAACAGCAGTCGTGTTTGTTTTGAAGTGTTGGAGACACTACTTGTATGGCAAGAGATTTAAGGTATTCTCGGACCACAAAAGTCTCAAGTAAATTTTCTCCCAAAAGGACTTGAACAACAGACATAGGCGATGAGTTGAGTTTTTGGAAGACTGCAACTTTGATTTGCAATATCATCCGGGTAAGGCAAATGTGGTAGCTGATGCTTTAAGCCAGAAATCTCATGGGACTTTGGCCGGGTTAGCCATTCGAAAGTGGAAAGTGCTTGAAGATTTGACTGGAATGGGATTGTATTGCTTTGATGATGGCAGTGAGTTAGCATTCTTGTTTAGTCTCGTAGCTCAGCCCACTCTTGCCAGACGGGTGATTGAGTCACAGAAATAGGATTTAGATTTAGATGCCATTCACACTTTGATCTCCAGTGGTGAGACCGTGAAGGATTGGGCCTTACATGCTGATGGAAGTCTACGATTCAGAGGTTTGTTGGTTATTCCCCCAGTTTGTCGTGAGGATGTCTTACGGGAGTTTCATACTTTTTGCTTTACAGTTTATCCGGGTGGTACCAAAATGTATCACAATCTGAGACGTCAGTATTGGTGGAATGGAATGAAGAAGGACGTTGCACAATTTGTGACTAAGTGCCTTACTTGTCAGCAGGTGAAGGCCGAGCACCAGAGACCAGCTGGTTTATTGCAGCCATTGATGGTAACGTAGTGGAAATGGGAGGAGATTGCCATGGATTTTGTGACAGGTCTTCCTAGGTCATGGAGGGGAAATAAAGCTATATGGGTCATTATTGATAAATTGACCAAGACAGTTCACTTCTTGCCTATTAAGGCAACAGATGATGCAGAGGCATTTGGTGTGCTTTATATGAAAGAAATTGTAAGATTGAACGTAGTTCCAGTGGCTATTGTTTCAGATAGGGATGCCAAGTTCACCTCGAAGTTCTGGGAAGGACTTCAAGCAGCGTTTGGCTCAACGTTGCACCTTAGTACGGCATTTCATCCACAAATGGATGGCCAGTCGGAGCGTACCATCTAGATCTTAGAGGATATGCTTCGGGCCTGTGTTCTTGATTTGGGAGGTAGTTGGGAAGATCACCTTCCACTTATTGAGTTTGCCTACAACAACAGTTATTAGGCGAATATTCATATGGTTCCATTTGAGACGTTGTATGGTAGACCTTATAGGTCTCCTGTTTTGGACTGAGGTCGGTGAGACAGCCGCCTTAGGACCCGACATTGTACTCGAGACTACCGAGAAAATTAAGCTGATCAGGCAGAGATTGCTTACAGCTCAGAGCCGACAGAAGAGTTATGCAGATAGGCGGAAACGACCTCTATCCTTTGAGGTTAGAGACCGTGTTTTTCTTCGGGTTTCTCCACAGAAGGGGTTGATGAGGTTCGAGAAGAGTGGCAAGTTGTCGCTACGATTTATTGGACCTTTTGAGATCTTGGATCGTGTAGGAGAGGTTGCCTACAGACTAGCATTGCCACCACAGATGCACAGGGTTCATAATGTCTTTCATATATCGATGCTACGAAAGTACGAACCAGATACATCTCACGTTTTGAGTTGGGTTGAAGTTGACATTGATGAGGATGTTTCCTACGAGGAGGGACCAGTTCAGATCATTGACACACAGCAAAAGGTGTTGAGGAAAAAAACGATACCGTTAATAAAAGTTCTTTGGAGGCATCACGGAGTTGAGGAGGCTACTTGGGAGCTCGAACAGGAGGTTCACTCTAAGTATCCAGAGTTATTTTCTCCCTCAGGTATGACTTGATTTTGGGGATGAAATCTTTTAAAATTTGGGAGAATGTAATAGTTATAATTTTATATATATATGTACATATATATTAAAGTTATAAAATAATTCTTTTATTTCAAAAAGTAAGTGGGCCCCACCAATATATTAAAAACATAACAAAAGGCCATAAGGCCATTACGTAGACCCATTGGCTTTTCTCTCTTTGCTGCATCATTCTTACCTTTGGTAGTTTCCATTTTTTTTTTTTTTTTTTTTTTGCAATTTCAAGGCTTGATCTAGCTTCACTCCTTTGGAATTTGGTAGAACTTTGTGAAACAAAGTTGGAGAGCTCGTCGAGGCCATCGATTTAATAGGAGCCAATCACCATTTGGCAAAGCCTAGGGATTCTGAAATTAGGGCTTGGATTTGGGTATTTTGGGGGTTTTCACTTCCATTAAGGTAGGGGTGATCTAATCCACTATTTTTTGGATTTCTTGTGAATTTTCACCTTTAATTTGACTTGAAGCATGCTTAATTTCAATTTTTGTGATTATGTTTGTTAGGGTTATTTATATTGATGTTGATAAATGTGTGTTATGTGTTAATTGGGTTTATTAGTATGATAATTTTTAACTTGTAAAGAAGCATGCTTAGTGTTGGTTTGTTTTCATAATTTCAATTGATATAAAAATTTATGTTATAATTATGGAAATAAATTTGTGAATTGTATATTTAAATTGCCATCAAAATGTGGGATGAGAATATGAGTTGTATATTTTTAGTAATTTATTAATTTATTTGAAAAAGTGTGTGAGAACATTATAGTTAAATTGATGAAATGAAGCATGAAGTATTCATGCATCCATTGGGGAAGAAATAGGGGGAAAAATGTTTTAAAATAAATGAATTTGTTCTTGGGAAAAATAAATATTTTTTTGAAGGAGTTTGCGAAAGCCGGACGCTTAGGAGGCGCCTAGTGGCCCGTATTGTTAGTGTAGTCTAGAGGAGAGTATGGTTGAACTAATTACGCCCGATGTGACGCCTTGGAGGTGCCTTGTGGTCATGGATAGTTAGTTAACCTTCCATTCGTGATGTCTTGGAGTTGCCTTAGGTGGGATTACACTAACGGTTTGATAGTTGAAACGGAATTGTTTCGGAATTGGGGAGCGACATATGCATAACATTGCACTTCATGGCATTTTAGTAAATCTGTGATTGGTTGACATTTACTATATATTTGTTGTTGTGGTTGAGAATATGTATTCCTCATGGTATTACTCCATTTCTTTTTACCTCTTCCTTACGTGGATTCATGGAGTCATAAGAAGTGTATTTTAGATACTTCCTACTGAGCTTATGCTCACCCCATTATTTTTAATATTTTTTTAGGACACGAAAAAGAGGTGACAAACGACGTTCCACCACAGGTTTAGACGAGCTTGGAGACTCATTTTAACAGGTCGCAGAGGGACTTTTTTCTGAAGAGGTTATGTCAAAATTTTAATTATTTTATTATTATTCTTTTGGTATATTTTGAGTAGTTATAAGTGGTTTATATATTTGGGAGTCGGGGGGTGATCATGGAAATGTGAGTACTGGAGAAGATAAACTAGGCTATTATCTAAAGGATTAGCTCGGCGTAGGATGCTCCTGCCATTGTAGGATTTGCGAAAGACTTGATGTACATGGGGCATGTGAAAAGCTTGTTTCCATTCAAACCCGTGACCTGCTGCAATGGAAGGTTGACCTATATAAATTAGGCTATTATCTGCATGTGACAAATCCTCGACTGACGCTAAGTCATAGATTTTGGTGTAAACTAATATATCTTCTCTCAACACCTCAGCAAAAATTTAAAAAAAGGCGTTGAATGAGATGGAGATATCCAAGGTTGGTACAAGTCAAAACATTAATGTGGCAGTACACCTAGTGTTGGGACAACCTTTTTCTTTACTTGCAAGGGGTAAAGACTTGGATGCTTTTAATGAAACAGTTAAGCCTACTTCCGTTTGACAGTTACCTACCACACTGAGGGAACCGTTTCAACTCCCGCCAGAAACTACACCCACTCCAACCACCTGTAGAAAATAACATCATCTCACTTTAATTACTTAGAACACACCCACCTAAACGTTCTCCTAATCCTCTATACAAACCTTACAACATACCCTTTGGACTAACCTTTAAAAACACCAAACACACAGGACCAAACTATCTAATATCATGCCTCGTGTACACTCAGCAACTGTGTTGGCCGAGACAATCTCTTGGTACTGTGCCTTGCTCTTGGCATTAATGCTGGTGCTGAATTGTTGTCAGCCCATCGAAAGCGAATTCGACGTAGAGATGCTGCAGAATGACATGATGATGATGATGGACAACAAGGCATGCGACGAGATTTACGTGGTTCGGGAAGGAGAGACTCTGCAAACCATTGGTGAGAAATGTGGCGATCCTTATATTGTGGAAGAGAATCCGCATATCCATGACCCGGACGATGTTTTCCCCGGTCTGGTTATCAAGATTAGTCCTTTCAACAAAAGGTAGAGACTTCTTCAATTTTCACAAGCTTGTTTTGGTTTTCAGGGATGGAGGTTTTTAATCAATATTGTTGTCCAATTGTATCGGTCGACTTTAAAGGGATATACAATTAATGTCTTGAATGTACATTATATAGAATTGTGAAACTTGTGTAATTCATTAATGGAATATCAAAATAAGTCAATTTTTGTGTACTATGTATATGGCATGTTGATTTAACGATCTTATCTTAATATAGATTGTGAATTTGTAATGTTGGTTTGGTATAGTTAAAGCTTGTTAAATTCACTGACTATAATAAAGATTAGTCTGTCTCTGGGCGTAAAATAATTTTCAGATTATTTATTTATTTTTTCTTTCAATATTTTGTCATATTTTAGAATTGGTAAAATGTTTTTAAGAATCACAGTTAACTGGTGTTTTCCAATTAACAGATGAGAAAGTGGTGGGCGCACTTTAAGGATTAGGGATTACGCTTGTTACTCAGTGCTCTTGTGGCTCACTATTTTTATTAGTGCTGAAAAATATTTTGCAACATTTGAGCCAAACACCAAAAAATAAAAGGACATTTACATAGAAAGAAACAGAGCCTAATCAAGTCCATGGTCTATGTTTAGGTTCAGCATGTTTTGTGTCTAGGTTTGACGGTTAGTATGCTTGGTGTGATATCCAATAACAAATTGAAGATGATGTTGTCTATATATTTATTTTTTTAAATACTAGACTCATTCTATCCCTCTATGTCCCATTCTATCCCTCTATGTGGGACAATAACTCTGCAATATTAGGTGTCATAAGTTATTGTTCTATATCAAATCGATGAGTGTTAACACTACTTAATAGGTCAAATTTTTAGCTCAAATTAGAAGTGACCAGCCCGTGACAAATGTTATCGGAGCAAATTTAATTTTTGATTTAGAGTCACGCCAATTTTCCAATCGCTCAAACAAAGGTGTTCATATCATTATTAGGATTTTCACCATTTGGGTAAACGGGTAGGCAGGTTGGACCAATTTCAACAAAGATGTTGCAAGTTTGTTATTGATTTTTGTATGAGAGAGTTTGACATACAAAAATGGAACGTTACGCTTCCCAATGAATAGAGATACACTTGTAGAGAATAAAGAAAATGAAAGCGCCACTAAATTAGGCTTGGGCCAAAGGCCTAAACCCACTATACTCCAAGAAACATTGAAGCGTGACTATTTTGGGGCGGCTCAGCCAAACTTGGGCCGTTAAAATTTGGGCCCTGGTTTGAAAATCCAAGCCAGACCCAATATGTCAAGGGCCTAGGAAGGAATTCAAGGGAACATTCAACAAGAACATAATTTTTTTATGATTCTCTTTTTCTTTTTCAAAATAATTAATGTTACATACTTCAACTTAAAAATATATATATAACTAAAAAAACATTATGGTTTTTATTTTTGTATATTAAAAAATAATTTTGTGTATTAAAAAATCAACATACCTAATATTTATTCAATACAATCATTACGTCATCATTTTATTTGATATTTCACTGCACCATTGCAAATTCGTTTAGTTGATTTTTATTTTTTTCTTTTCGATCAAGTACAATATGTACCCGAACTAAAATAGTGACTAGTCTTTCAGCCTTTACAAAAAACAAAAAAAAAACATTTTTCTTCTAGAAGTGAATAGAAAAGAAAAAAAAAATTACTGTAATAAAAAAGTTTTTATTTTTTTCATTAATAATAAAAGAGTTAATAATTACATAACTTGTCCCTGTTATTTATAACTAATGAATTTCAATTTTGCTCTTATCATTTATCGAATAAAACAATTTATTTTTCTCTGCACTATCCTTACCAATTTCAGTTTATTACTCCTTCCATGACATTTGAATTTGTGAAAGTTACTATTCTCTAAATATAACATTTGTTTTTTAAACAGAAGAGTATCTTTTTTTCACTTTCACTCGTCAACCAAAGATGTCTGAAAGTAAGCACTAGTTACTACAGTATTTTTTTATAAAAAAAAAATTATTATTTTTATTTCTTTTTTTCCTCCCATTATATCAAAATTAGGGCAAAATTTGATGTAAAGGCGAAATTGTCTATTAGGAGGAGCAAAACTTTGAACCTCGAGCGTCCCTCTCCCTTTGTCTCTCACACGCGCACGCACAGTCTGGCACACAGTTTGTTGGCGGAAAACAGCCTTTTGAAAGACAAGGTACGCTTGCCGTCCTCTATACCATTGATGAACTTATAATTATTTGGTAAATGTGTCTCTTTACGATCAAATATGTGCAATGCATTATGAAATGTTACGAATCGTTTTGGTGATTCCTTGATTTCATAGCATGCCCTTCACACACACATCCAATCATATCATATACAATGCGCGAAATAGGAAGGGTGTAATATTTTGTCTTAAGATATTGGTATGCTGAGGAGGCCTTTGAAGGCTTTATTCTCAGATTCAATTAGATTTCTGTTGTCAATTACTCGATTTCATTTGGGACTACCACCGGGTCACTAGCCCAGGTGACATCATCTCTCCCTCTCAAACAGAGGTTGAGAATTCGAGCCCCTGCTAGTGGTAACTTGTGGAGTAGGTATAGGGTGTGCCCGGCATATCACTACCAATAGAAATATAACAAATTAGGTTGTGGAGAGCAGTTTTTATTTGATTATGGGACCAATTTAATTGTATAGTTGATGTATGGTGGATTTCAGGACAGACCCAGAAAATTATGTGAGAGGAGGTGGCCTTTAACAACACGAAGATAAAAAAATTCAAACCATCGTGTGGGGACAACTGTGGGGTTTTCTGTAATTTCAATGGGTCAGTATTAAAATTTCATAGGTTATGTAATCTAAAAAAAGGAAAAAAAGTAGGTATATAATTCAAAAAAAAAAAAAATGCCAGTGGGGACAATTTCCCCACTGGGTCTTGAATAGGTCCGTGCATGGTGGATTTTCATTGCGAAGGCATACCAATGACATGGCATGCCCTTCTCATTGCTTTAACTTCCCAAAAAAAATTTTTTTATCATTGGAAGACTGTCAGAATTGGAAGACCAAGAAGGTGGGAGGTGGGAGACTTCCTTAGAATCATTATGAATGTTGTAGCATCAGATAAATGGAGTATGGTTGTGCTCGAGAAGTGGCAAGTGTGACGCCCAGTGGCTTTCCTTGAGAGTACCTTCCAAAGTGGCCTTTTTGGATGGACTGCTGTTGGTTTTGTAGGTGTTAGAATTGATGCATAGACAGTTATACATCTATTAGACTTATAGTCTATTTTTCAGTATTTTATAACTTTGTTACACGTGCTAAACACTAAGTCCAAGTATCATAACATCATTCCTGTATTTCATTGACCAAATGATTGTATCATGTCAGAAACTACTTGTTCGGTGATCATAAATTTAGAGCCATTTGAGCAAGACCAGTCTGTCTAGGTCTCCTCATTAACCTAACTGGTCTGATTCCCTGATTTCACTAGGTTCAGACAATATAGCACTTCTTCGGTACGAAATTGAAAGATGTGGAGTATTGTTTACAAAGTAGTATAGTTTGGAATAGTTGTACTTGACAAACAGATTAATTGGTGCATTATAATGCAAATGAGTAACAGAAAAAGGAGAAGAAAAATGAGGGCTGAGAGAAGAAAACCGGGAATGCTAATAAAGTCAATGTTGCTTGTTCCACTGTTAAAAGAGATTAAAATGTGATGATACTCAGTTTAGCTTTACCAGAAGGAGCTGAGATGATATATACGTATTCATCAGAAGATACAAAATGTGCAGTAAAATATATAGCAGCAATTTTCACTAAAGATTTGTGTCTCAACTTTATTATATAGGCATGTTTGGTTCTTAGATGGCATTCTTACTGGATTTAGCTCAAACAGTGATTTTTATTCTTGGAAGAACCTACCTTGCTAGTATCTGAATAGGCTTATAGGTTGCAGTGAGATTTTATGAGCTTTAAGCCTAAATGTGTTACTTAAATTTAGTACGAAAACTCGACTGCAGGTGTGTCAATATCGTGCATAATTTACAAGCTACATTACTTTTATGGATATTTTGGTCATGTTATTAACGCTTCACATAAATTTACCTTGGCATCAATCAATGAATTCTTCCCTGGGCAACTACTTAATATACCAATTGACCTTGTTGAGAGATTCAAATGAATAACTTGTGTTTCGCAATTCATATATTAAGACATATCCTATGGCTAGTTGATGATTGACTTTGGATACGCATTGTTGTGCAGTTGAAGATTGCAATTTTAATATGTTAGCTGTGGGACACTGTATGTCAAATGTAGGTCATAGGAGGTCCAATATCTAATGAATTAATCCAATCTTGATTCCTATGTCCACTAAGGTCTCATCTGATTTTTGACCTAACTATGAGATTAATCTTTCGCGAGTGTTTGGCGTGTCTTCACTGTAATTCATCTTCATCTTCTTTGGTTGCAAACAATGTGACAAAACATTTTGTTCAGCTTATACACCTAATTTTGATTAAGAACATAGTTGGAGCAACTTCTTCGTCTTCCTATTTTTTGTGTGGCGAATAGGACTTAGTTGGAGCAAAATTTTGATTTTGGTACTTTGATTTCAAGTTTTTAATGCAATATCTATTTAAGTGCATGTTAATTGTGTTCTCATAATCATTTTAATTTAATCAATTTTGTGAAAAAAGGAGGGACAAAAGTAGGGGTGCAATTTGGGCGGGTCAACCTGAAACTAGCCAGGGACTTGGGCTTTTAGATTCGCAAATTGGGCCCAATTCAGGTTGGGTTTTCTCAAAACCCAGCAAAGTTTGGGTTGGTCTCGGGTTCAACCCGAAATATATATATTTTTAATTTTTTTTTTTTTTGCACCTTCCTAATCTTAACCGTTGAATGATCTTATCAAACAATTGGTAGCGTGCATCGTTTTCTAAAAACCCTAAGCTCCATAGTTGTTCTTATTATAAAATTATAAATACATGATTGATTGCAATCCTAAATAAACAGATTTGTTCTTTTATGTATATGTCTATATATGTTTCCATGTTTCCTATAAATACATGATTGATTGCAATCCTAAATCATGTATGTCTATAAATACATGATTAATTGCAATCCTAAATAATTTACTTGTTTCATGTACCAACTACCAAGAAAGAACGACTTTTTTGATTCCAATGTTGTAGGGCTTTTCTCTCTCTCTTACCTTTTGTTTAAAATCTTTTGGTTTGATCTCAGGCTGCTTGTACATGTATAAGTTTGTTTTATGGTTTTTTTGGGAAAATTTTGAAATTAAGTTTTATTTAATAACAAATAAAAAGAAAAAAAAGTTTTTTATTTTTATATCTAAAACAAAATAAGATACGTTTTATTTTGGTTGCATTAATAAAAATAAAATTAGAGTTGGAAGCATAAAAAAATTAATGTCTTCAAAAAAAAAAGGAAAAGAAGGTTGAACGGGTCAAACCGTCCGGCCCGAAATTGTTGGGCTTGGGTTACTTGGGAGCCCAGCTATGAGTTGAAATCGGGCCAGCCCAACCCAACCCAACTTCTGGTTGAGTTTGGGTTGGGACCAGGCTGGGTTGGGCCCGCCCAACTTGCACCCCTAGACAAAAGGCAAAGTCCAAGACTTATGATATTTATGCTCTAAATTTATTTGCTTTTGATTATTTTATGCATAAATTAAGGAGTGCAATCATATTGCTTGATATTGAATAACAAACTATGTTTTAATTGTTAAAATCTTATTTGATTTGGTGATTATATGTTTTTCAACTGATATACTGCGCAGGTGTAGTGTGTCTACGTTTTGCAGCTTATATCTAAGTGATGATGTCTTCAAGATACTTAAATTTTATTAAAGTTTGAGTCTTTTTATTTTTAATTTAAATTATTGTTCTATTTATTAAGTTCTATCATGAAATTGTCAAAGGGGGATATTGTTAGTTCGATAGGACTTTTATGTTGAAAATTTTCATTCAAAACTTGGAGTCTGAATGTTTTTATTTTAGCTCTTCGTTAGAATTTTCAGAAGTTCATTAGTTTAATCATGTTACCTCAGTTTAAGGGCAGAATTGAAAGTTAAAGCTACGACCAAGGCAAAAAGGTGGTTATATGCACTCACTGATTAGTGTTCAAATCATGAGCAGTCGTTTAGTTAGTCCTTTTTTAGAATTTCATGTTTAATGCATCAAAATTTTTTCAGAATGAATAAATGTGTTTCTGGAACTTTCCTTATTGAAAAATTTATTTCTATAAGGACATGCACTTCGATTGATCAATCGATTAATCAATCGATTGTCACTGGCCATGTGTTGGTTGATTGGCACTTATCTTGATCAATTGGGACTTCGAAAAATCAGTTTCCAAATTAAATGAAATCTCGTTCAAACCTAATCTCTTTGGGTCTCTAAACTCTTTATAAAGACCTCATGTGCAATGAAGACCAATAAAACAATATTAAGAAGAGTTATGTGGTCTGAGTTGAGGTAATGTTAGGAAGGTGAAGTTAGGAAATATAAAATAGCAGGTGGTTTGACTGAGATACTGACAAAACATGATTCATGGAACTAACCTCAAATAGTTGGGAAAAGGCTTTGTTGGGCTGAGTTATGAGTTGTGAATCATTACATTGGGTGTTATGTACCATTGCCCAAAAAGTCATCTTATCTAAAATTAACAGTCTCTTGGTGATTAATTGAAAAATATGCTAAAACTTTGTTACTCTTGATATTTCCTTAGACAATTACATGATAAGGATACAAAATGAAGAATAGTTGATGTGCCACTCAAACTTTGTAACTCTTGATATTTCCTTCTTTGTGGTGAGATATTGAAATTATAATAGTTGATGTGCCATTCAATATATACATTTCTTGACTTAGCCTCTAAGGGTTGTATGGATTCAGCACCAAGGGGCTTTAACTTCCCCTTTCACCTAGTGAGAGCATCAGTTTTATCTTGGCTTGTTACACCAGAAGAGCCCATATCCTTCATCAGCACATGAGATTTCGGTGGTTTTCGCTTCTGAGGCAGGTCTCAGATTTATATTTTTTTGTTTGCTTTTTCTCACATGATCTGAAATTAATGTATCGGAAAGATAAATTTTATGTATGCTCTGTAGGTGTTCTCAAACTATTTAATGAAGTTATTTATGTTTTGGTGCATGTTTTTTCACCACAAAAATGGACAGTGCTATGCTAATTTAGTTTGCTCTTTCAAGGCGCTCTCTATTTTTGTTTCTCTCTCTAATTTTGCATGGTATATTTAATCAAATGAGGTAGCTGATTCTTCTTTCTAGATTTGGGTCTTAATTAGAATTCGGTTGGTTTACTCGTGTCAAAATCTTTGGTTTGGAGTTGTTAGAATATCTTTTAAGAATTTGATTTTGCACAGTTCAATAAATAATAAGCGTCACATCAAGCTGAACATGAAACTAGTCAAAACCTGTGTACTTTGGAGTCGTTAAATTTTATTTTTGAGAATTTGATTTGACATAACTAAATAAAGAAACTAATCATTATACCAAGCTGAATATCCATCAGCCAGTGAAGATTTATTATTAATTTTAGTGGGGGACAGGTTTTTTGGAAGGCAAAGACTTTCCAAACTAAATGAGGGATTAATCCTATTGTGGGACCACAATTATCAATGATCTACTGAAAAATCATATTATCACGTGCAAATTAACCATGCTTACGTATTTACAGCGCCCCCCCCCCCCCCCCCCCCCCAAACAACAGTAGTATTATGCTTATGTATGTACAGTTGATTTGTTTTTGTTTTGCAAGAAAGAAATACAAAATATCAAGGTAGAATTTTTTTATTTTACATGTCAATTTCCTTTTCCTTTTCCTTTTCCCCCTAATTATCACCCTGCTTAAGAAACTTTAATTTCTAATTATATTTAGCAAGAGAGTGAACCACAGAGAAATCTCTCTCTCTCTCTCTCTCTCTCTCTCTCTCTCTTCGTTTTCTTTTACATTTCCTTTCCTTTTCCTTTTACTTCCAGTCACTAAATCCATGAACCAAACTGAGTATTCAGATGTTATTTTAAAGAGCATGTTCCTGTTAACATTGCATATTCTTGAAAATAGTTTCTTTGGTGACAAAATTTAAACATAACATTTTGAAAGTTCCTAGTGATAAAGAACAACAGTAATAATATGCCATTTTTACTTGAATGTATGGTTATGATTCCAAAACCTTCAAACTATTTGCCTTGTTTCACATCTGCAGTGTAGTGTGACATTTTTGTTTTTGGTCCATACGTTTCCTTACTTTTACAGGAAATAATTGTTCTTTCCTGATTTTTGTTTAACATCCAAATCATCTGAATATAGGTAAAAAAAAAAAATTCATCTGAATATGATGCTTCTGGGTAATTTCATTTAGTTCTCATCTTCTCGAAGAGAATTGTTTTTGAGGATTTTTTTGTCTCTGTTGATGGTAAATATATTTGTTAAATACCAACTCAATGAAAGATGGTATGCTGTTTGCTAGTGAATATGGATAAGCATGTAGAAGTGTGGATTTCACATTCAAATGACAACAGCAGGGTAGCTTATCTGATATCTATTACAAGAAAATTGCATTTTAGTGATCCTAGTCAGGAACCAGATGTGACGTTGTACCCATTTAGCATAGTGACAAAATTTTCTTAGGACAAAACTAGCTGCTTTATAATATCGAGAAATGCTTTATTGTGTCACGTATGACCACAAATGCGTCATGCATACATAATTGAGTATGTATTGTACTTTTTTTTTCGCAGGAAAGCTGGGTTAAGTTCATACACATTGGTGGCTTCAGGTGACGTAACCCCACTGAGTTACTGTGATTAGAGCATCAAGAAAGTCTTATCACACACAAAGCTACTGGTCCCAGCATCCAGGTGCACTTAAATTCTGTATGATTGGAGTATTATGGAAGTGTGTTTGATATTTTGTTCAACTTTGGTTTCTGAAATTGCTTCAGTGATATTTTAGAATTTATTATCAACTGTTCTGATCATGTTATTTGATCAAAATTCTGTCCTGAAGTAATTCCTACATACGGCAGGTATCACTTACAATTTTGCAACTGGAAAGAAGAAATACAATTAATTCTTGTACTTTCTGAATTTAGTTCACAATAAAATATTGGTTCAGTAGGTTTTTGAGAAGTGACCTTATCACCTTGCTGAGAAGGGAAGATCCTCCCAATAGATATAGCTTATTCAATATGCAACTTATCGTTGAAGCTTTCTTTCATATGCACCTTTTTACTTCAATCTCAGAATCTTATATGTTAGTTGGATGCATTGTTAAAACATGTTTTTGTTACACAAATTTCAATTTATCATTCACACATGCTTTTGTAAAACATCTTATAAGTCTCACTTTAATTCCAAATGAGAAATAACCGTGCGCACTTCGTTAACATACTGGTTTTGGATACATCAGCAGGCAAAGATTTTTTTTAGAAGTTGTGGATGGATATTCCCTTGGTTGGTGTTGGATGAGGCATCATCCATAGAATCTGATTTGTGTTGCTTTTTTGAAGTTGTGGATGGATATACCGTTCACACATGACTTGTTTGTTTTGAGTTGTTCATACGCTATTCACCATTCACTTCAATCTTATTCATCTAAATTTCAGATGATGGTGCAAATCTGTCATCAGAAAGGGACCGCGGGAGAAAATGGGAGCTAATGATCACATATAGTATCAAATTTACAACTTATGACAAAAGAATACAATGGGGAAAGACTTAGATTTGCTCATATGCATTCAAACTTGTATTTTTTCTAGAGCACTAATTGAGTCATTTCTTTAAGAATTGAGAGGCTGGCCCTACATTGTTTGGTGATCAATTAGATCAAACCATGGGCGACAAGTATTAATATACTAATAATTATATGATTTTGGAGTAACCCCATTGGAAAAGGCCACTGACACTTGCCAATAGCCTTTTATATATGTATGTATGCATGTGTATACATATTATATAATCATGGACTTAGCTGAGTTGTTCGCACCTTGGAATGAGGATTAAAAATAAAAATAAAAACTTGGAATAGTGAGTACAATTTTTGAACCATGGGGCAGTGTGTTGTTTATCATAATATGATTCTGATGCATACTACATGTTACCTTTTTTTATATGGCAGACCATCTATTCAATTCAATTAGGTCATTTTTTTTTTTTTTTTTTTTTTTTTTTTTTTTTTTTTTTCCTGAACATGGAATAGATTGCCATACTCACCATCAGTGGTGGCCGACATGTATGGCAGTGATTATGTGATGGAGAAAACTGTACTTGTGCTTTCAACTTATTTCACACATGCAGAATCTGTGGTAAGATGTGGACAAGCAATTTATATATATAAGCAATATATATATATATATAGCATAGCAATAAAACCACTAGAAGGAATGGTAGATCTTTCCAATAAACTATTAGTAGTTCATATTATCTAGAACTTACTATCGGTCATCTACTTGATTCATGTTGTGGAAGTGGTCCGAGTGCCAGTGGCCTCTAATATTGGATGCTAGTCATATGGATCCCATTTCTTTTTTCCTTCTGCTTTCTTTTTACTTTATTTAGTGATCCATCCGGTGACATTTCATTGCCATACATGTATTGCCTGTGACATAAAACTGGTCATATCATATGTGTGAGGAAAGTGGGATTGGATTTTTATTACTTTTGTAATTTGAGGTCTCTAACCCCACTCTGCGCTCAATCAAGTGGAGTTTCTTGACTAGTATAACAAAATTTTAAACTGTTTGGAAACATCTCTTGCCTTTCTTTTCATTAGTCTGAGAGCTGTTATTCTGAAGTAAATGGGAACAAGTGGCTTTTTCTTGGTTAGGTATTCATCTTTCTAATTGATCACTCACACGTGTGAGTGACTATTTGCTGCAGTACTGTACGTGTGTTGTACTACAGAGGATCAGACTTCACCACATGAGCCAATGGCATGCTGGGGCTATGTTACTTTTTACTTAAATGCAACAGCTCCTTAATTGATTAATTGTCACTTTTCTTGATTCTTCCACTTCTTGTTTTATGGTTGTTCATGAAAGAAATATTTTAGGTATACAATTTATTAGAGTCCCACCTCCTTGAACTTAGAGCATCCCTAACCATTGTGTATTTTTTTTTTTTTTGTGTAAATCTGATGTGTTATAATAGATTTATACAAAAAATTTAGATTATTTATTTATAGCTCCAACGGTTGTTTTATATCTTTTATATAAAAATATATCCCCCAATCATGCCTAAACCTTACATAATTTTTATAAACCTACTTAATATAGGGTTGATTCGTTAATGTAATAAAAAAGAGGGAGAAGAAATGAAATATGCTAATATGGCAATGTGAAAAGGTAGTGTAAAATACACAACAATTTTACACATTGGTGACGTGGCAGTGTATCTTAACAGATTGCTGGAGATAAAAAAAATTTATACATCATACGTGACCGTATATATTTTACACAAAAGAGTATTTTAACATACTGTCGGAGATGTTCTTATCTTGTATCAGTTTAGTGAAAAAAAAAAAGAAAAAAAGAAGAAGAAGATGCATGGCTCTCAAAGTCCCCACCATAGCTCTCTCTCTTAGTGTACTGTTCTTTGATTCCTTCTACTTTTATCATTTTAGAATCTTTGGGATATTGTTTGAATGTTGAAAGAACTTTTTGTTTTAATTTTTGTGGGATGTGTTTGTGTGGAAGCTTAGAAGTTTGATTTTTCTCATTAATATGACAGCATACCACCTTCTCATTGATCCATATAAGCTATCTATGTAAGTTTATCAATCATCTTTTTTCTATTTTTTGGGTCAAATTGCACTAAACTCCCTTGTGCTATTAAAAAGTTACAAAAATACCTTTTTTGATATTTTCTGCAGCAATAAACACCCTTGATTTATCGAAAGTTGCAAAGTAACCTCTTTTGGCATATCAAAAATTATGTTGAAGTGACTGGGTGCAATGCATGTGACTCGAGGATTGATTGTTTTGATGAAAATATTGCTCAACTTCTCATTTATAAGTGTACTTTGTCAAAACAATCATCACACCCATGTGTCAGGTGTGTTAAACCCTACCACTTTGACACAATTTTTGTATGCTGGGGGTTAACTTTGTAACTTTTGGTAAATTGAGCGTTTATTGCCGCATATATATAGTAGAGGGGTATTTTGCAATTTTTTAAACCAATTTTATGGCATCATATTTTTTTGTAGATTTTTTTAATAACTTTTTCTTACTTTTGCTGCGATATTTAATTGGTGTGACTTTTTGGGTGGTTAGAGCAAGAATCCACAAACAGTAGTTGAAAATAGGAGAGTATCATGTATTTCTTCTTTCTTAATTCTCTAAAGTTTATAAATTGTAACTATTTATACTGTTCTTCCCATGTGCTATCAAGCAAATTATTTGATATGTATGCAAAATAAGTAAACAATTAATTCAATCAAATCAACTTAAAATGCAAGTATTAAGAGTCTTGTGATCAAGTCGTATCTCTTCTACCTTTTAAAGTGGATGACGAGATGAGAGTTTGAATTTTCAAAAAAAAAAACTGAGCTTGTGAGTTTTTTTGTCAATAAAAAAATAATAATAATGAATAAGATTATTCTCACTTAAGAAACCAAAAGAATGTCTTCATTTTGCATATTAATTTCAATACAAATGGCAAAAATATTCTCTAACTCTATTAATTACTTAGGAGTGGGGTTGGTTGTATGTGTACGCATGTGTTTTTCTGTACTAAGGAGTAGTTGGGGGTGGTTAATGTTTATAACTAACATCATTTTCTTAGGCCCTGTAAACGGATTGGGATAACCATTCAAAGAAAAAAAAAAAAAATGAAAATAGATTGTGATAGGCTCCATCTGTTCCAATCCGAAATAAACTTCAATGGGTCCATACCTTAATTTTATATTTGAATTTAAAATCGGGTCAACTATAAACTTTTTTAAAAATACGTGTTTTACCCCGTCACTAAATGGATCAGTTTAACTCGATATTCAATTCAACAGTCTTATTTCACATTGATCCACTCCATTTATGGCCTATACTTGTATGATTGAATGGGTACTCACATCCATACATGCATATATAAATAAGAAAATTTTTGGGGGAATAAATCAGAATTAAATATTGTAGCACTAAAAGGAAAATTATTAATGAATAAATAGAAAGGGGAAGAGGATTCCCTCCTTGCGGAGCTCAATAGGGTTTTGTGTCGGTGTATCAAAATGATACTGTTTTAATGTAACGTTGAACAGAATTGAATCTTGTACAAAAAGAAATGGTACCATTTTTTTGCACCAACGAACACGATCGAATCCCCGCACGGAAAAGAATCTGGATCCAAAGCAAGAAACAGCTGCTCTCACGCAAAAGACTAAAGTTAAAATGTGGAGTCCGATGTTTTTTCATTGGAGTCCTTTTTTAACAGTGACATGCACGATCAAAAGAAAACATGGACAGTGTGTGTCTTTGTCTATTGCTCTGTCGAGTTTTAAATATATTACAAAAGATAAGAAAGACAATCCTAAGCTCTTACAAAAATTCTAATTATTTATTTATTTATTATTATTATTATTATTATTTTGTCTTTGATGAGTTCTTATAATATATCTGAATAAACACTTATTTCCATTTGTGTTTACGTCACTGCATATGTCATGACTCATGCATGACTTAATCGCTAATATCATAGTCACAACTGTCGTGGAAGTGAGTCTGTACCAAATCAGTGTTAAAATCTTTAATGTTAATTTAAAAGCTGACACGTATTCATTGGCACACCTATTCTTAATGGTTACATATTTAAATGTAACATATTCTTATTCTGTTAAGCATAGACAAATTTAAAGTATTATTTAAACCAATTCTTATCAGAATTAGGATTGTTTGGATGGATTATCATTCTAAATGTTCTTGTTGAGTAATGTTAAATCGGTTGTGTGTGTGTGTGTGTATATATATACAAACTAACTCCAAATTGTCTCCTCTTTCTTGGCACATAGCCAGTGATCTGAAACAACTTCAATTTGAATAACAAGACTTACTTATCGTTCTTTAACATATTACAAATTTGCAATGTTGTTTTCTTTCGGTTTGATGGTTGAGAGAATCTATTTATGATAATATTTGAATTATCCAATCCATAGTAACTATGCAAAGTTGGAAGCATTTTTTCACCAAATGCTTGAAATACATAAATATATGTATTTATATACACATAACATAAATTCATTCTCAACTTTGACAATCGATAATTATATACACGTGTTTATATAATTATATATGTTTATTTGTGTGTGTGAGAGTATTCTTTGCCAATTAAGATATTAGGTGTAACAACTCTTACCATATTTAGACACAATATTGTCTGTTTTTGGCTCTTTCAGACTAGAGACTTTTTAGGGGGTCACCCATTCTAGTTTTATTCTAGATTAAGCACGCTTAACTTCGGAGTTTTGATAAATTCACAGTTACCACGGCTTTAAAACGCATTGCATAATAGAACTTCGTCTTTCCCAGGTAATGTGGAATCATGTACAAAGGGAGTCACATTAGGTCTCCAACCCTATCTACCATAGGGTTGGAGTACAAATAAACTCTAGGTTTGGTTATGCGAGTCCAAGTATTCTTTGACTGGTTTAATAAAGAGTCGTTACTCAAAATGATATCATAAAATGGGATTATAGATGCCTGTAGTTGTATGTAGCATAGTGTCACGAAGTGATTCCTAAGACGCTTGGAGTATGGAAGACACGCATGCTGGTTGGCAAAGAGCAGAGTTTAACTGGGAATAGTTTCAGGGAAGGGGCGTGCAGGACCATAGGATGGTACTTTTTCAGAGTTCAGGCAAGTCGACTCGGTTGAGTGCAAGGAGCTTGTCGCTGGTCGTAGACTTGACTATGAAGAAGGGAGTTGGCCATCCCTGCATAAACTGGTCGGGAGCTGGAGCCGTTCCCTTGACGAGACCATGGCAGGCCGAAACCAGTCAGCATGTATCATTGGGAGAGCAGGTTGTAGTGGCTGACCAAGGCGTTTGCGCGAGCTGAAGTAACGCCTTGGTATCGCACGGGCCGTGCCGCTGTACCAAATATCTAGGCCCGTGACAAATGGTATCAGAGCAGAATTTGGCGTAAGCACGACAGGTGCTCCCTCGTCGATCCGGGAGGGGTCAGAGAACGA